AGTTCTGTTTTTTTTTTTTTTTTTTGTATTATTTCAATTCATACAAAGTATTATTAATATATAATTACGGTTACCTATCATTTTAAGAAGGAATTATAATTAAATAATATAGTTTGAGGTTGTGGAATATGATTTCTGAAATATGAAATCTTTAATGTATTGTTCTTTCCAGAAAATAATCCTGAATAGTGAATTTCAGCAAAGCAGACCATTAAAGATCCCGAAATATAGAGGGCAATAATCATGTTCTAGGAATCTTAAAACAAATATAAAATGCTCCCTCACATCTCTGCGATGAACTTTGACACGGTGCAAAAGTCTGTTATTACTTATTATTGTTATTATACATTACTGGCATAATATTCTTTAAATCTGCTGCCATTTTTACAGGTAGCAAGATCCGACTGGTAGACTCTCATTTCTTTAATATAAATGTTATAAGTATTCAAAAAAATGCTTTCAAAATTTTATCAAAATAATTTTGATTTTTTTGTACCGACTCAGTCTAATATATTTACATAATTACACACACATCCATAATCGTGTTCTAGGGATGTTAAAATGAATGTAAAATGCATCCTCACCTCTAATGATACATTGTAAGTCTATTATTTATTAGTAATGAATTAAATAATTTATTGGAATTCTTCAAGCAGATCGCGATGGTATGGCAGAATAAAAGATAATAGTAGCTTTATGAATTTATTATTTCTCGACAATATGAAATATGTATTTATTAGAACAGCAGCGATTTATAATTCTATTTTCATTACATGAATCCATGCAGTCTTGAGCGAAGTAATTGCATAATGACTAGGTTGGTCAACGGCATCGGTCTTCGACTTATTGAATATAATCATACGCTTGAGATTATAGTAAGAAATCAATGAAATTCTCAGTCAAGAGTAATACAGTGGTTCGAAAATCATCTTGTGAGGTGTATTTTCTCAATATATTCAATATTTTTGGAATAAAAATGTTTAATGTTTTGATTAATTTAAACAAATTATATTTTAGGATGCCCAAAATTAAAATGGACATTTTAGAAGCTGCATCCTTTAAAATGAGGTTGTTACTGAAGGCTGCAGATCTCATTCAGATAAACAAATATTATTCTAAATTTTTGGTTATAAATGCTCTCACAGGTTCCTGTTTATTGTTTTATTCTCTTTATTATTTCGTAAACAAAATTGAAAATTTCGCGGCAGTTACTTACCACTTGATCATGGTTATTGATGTTATCTTCGCAAGCCTCATTCGCTACACTTGGCAATCAAATCTTCAAAAATTAATTAATGGTATATCATGTTTTTATTATTATTATTATTGTGCTAAAATCCAGCTCAAAATTAAGGAATTAATTATAGTTTTCACCTTTAAATTGGTTACTCATCTTTTTTGTATAAATATATATATTGTATATTATATAAAGATGGGTCATAACAATGCTAATTTATGAACAGTCAATTTTTCGGACCAATTTTTCATCCTAAAATGAATAAACAAACAAAAATTTCGTAATCAATATTAAATTTTTTAAATTTAATTATCACATATATTTGTAACGTTTCGGCTCCTTGGCCATTTTCAAACATTTCTTTATACATATTATTATCACATGTCTAAATTTTTGTAAAATTATTTATCAATATCCTTTCATTCATCAAATTTCTTTTTGTTGGTCAAAATTTTTAATAGTAGCTTGAATGCACCAGTTATGGAACCTTTCGGTGACCAGCACCATATTCAAATCTCTAATTACAACACATTATTAGGGTGAACGCATCAATTATAAACAGGATGGATAACTTGGGACTTCAAATGTAAATAAATAATAAGCTTCTATGTTGATTGAAAGGTTCCAGTTTTCTAGATCGAAGAACAATGCCCTCTATTGAAAACTGTATGAACAAAGTTCCCAAAAGAAAATTTAAAAATGCATATTGTTGTTTCTATAGTGTTTTTGAGATCAGTGTGTTTCATACCTTCCTACTTTAGTTTTGCTTAGAGTAAGTTGTACATTTATCTTATCTTTTCTTTATAGTTAAACAAAAAGTTTAGAATTTTTCTAAAGTATGTCCATTACTGGTACCGACCCCCTGTCCATTACTAGAACAATTGATTTCAGGATCTCCATCAATAGCACTAAAAGGTGTTTTTTAAAAATGGATGTTATACCTGCATGAGTGAATATTTTTTCAATATTAAAGTGTTAAATAGAAAAAGGAGACTTTAGAGATTCTAAACATCAAACGGAGAAGTGTATAACTATAATAATTACGGTGGTATAAGCCAAAAAAGACAAAAATTTCATTAGCTATGTTTATCACTTGTGTGCTTACCCTAGTTATGTATTTATTTTTCTAAAAACTGTTGTCACTATTAAAAGTTTATATAATCGGTAATAAAGAAATGGTGTTAAGAGAAGTTTAATTTAAAAAAAAAAGATTTTCAGTTTGAAAATATTTAACTCTCGCCTATTTGTTTCTATTTAATGTTAAATGGAATCCTATATACATGGGCTAACAGAATATTATCTCAATATAATGCTTGATATAGATTGTCCCTGTGAAAGCACGGCGTTGTGTATATACAGTCCCGCAGGACAGATCGGTCACTCGGAATGCATAACGGATTAAACCGGCGCACAGTGGTCTGAGAGCAGCAAAAACGACTATTTTCGAGGTGTTATGATAATTCAAATTTCTGTGTTTTTATTGTCTGACATAGTTAACTCATATATTCCTAAAGTTTAGACACTAATAAAAACACCAGTTTCAAAGATATTCAATAAAATATTAGTAAAAAGCCTGTTTCTGCCACATTAATTACGCAACTTGTTATAAATCATTAAATATATTTTAGGCCTTTTTGCTGTATTCTGAAAATAGTATTTCTTGTGTAATTTTCGGAAATAAGTTCTTAAATAAATTTTAAAAAATCGTATATTCATAGGATAAATTATCACTCAACGGATCCTGGAATTTCCTTTTTCCATCGGAACCGCCAAGGTCTTACTGTAATCAAATTGTTTTTTTTGAACCCTCTGCTAACGATGAATACAAAAATCAACTCCGATAATTTGAGATTTTGTTAACTATCTGGCAAATTCAGTCAAGAAAGTTATACCAAAAACGAGCAAGAAAAAAATCCTACCTGTTTCTAAATAAATCTATGCCTAATATAATTTATTCCTTTGCGTCAAAGAAAACTGAAGGAAAAGTATAGAAAAAAAAAAACAACAACTGAATATTGAAGATAAATTCAAATAATTTCGTGACTCATAATTGACACAGGGGTAATGTTTTCATTACCCCATGTATTTGGTTTTATCTTCATTTAGTTGTATATTGATTTGCTCTTCTTCTCTTACCACTATGTTCTCTTGATAGTAATATAGTTAACAGATATTTATAATTGATTCTGTCAATAACCTTTATACAATAAATTTTCACTTTTACAACATATTACTTGTAAAATATATATATTTATTTGTATTAGAAAAAATTAACGATAATAATAACAGTTGGGCTTGCCAAAAAAGTTTTATTGTATATTAATTCAGAATGCTCAAAATTCCATAATGAATTCAGTTTTTCAAATGTCGCTTAAATTGAAAGTTTCCCAGAGTTTCGGTCGATTTATGTCTTTTCCGACCACTCGCACAGTTACCTGTTTTACCAATTTAGTGGTACCAAAGTCAAAACAGGCTTCTATATAAAAAATTAGGATTTTTTTCTTCAAAATAACTGTTTATTATATAGTAGTAAGAAAGTTATAGAATCCTTCCATTTAAAACTGAAAGAGTACTATTATGAAGAAGTCGAAATTGGTTAATGTTGAAAGCTCGGTAATTCGCTCTCTGTTGGTTTTAGAAAAAAAATGTTAGATAATTTTAAGCTGTTTAAGATTGAATATAACCATTTTTTGCTGTATGCCGCTCTAAAAATTAAATGTTTAGCGTTAAGCAAAAAAAGTTCGAAATTTCAATGGTTTTTGGAGCACTGCAGCGAATCCACAAGGCTTTCAAGGGCGGAAAAATAGATTTTTTATATTCACTAAATACCTAAAAATATAAGTATAAAAAAGAAATTTGAACTACCCGACATTTAGCAAGGTAGCCCCACCTTTTTGTGGTGATTTGACTGGGCTTATCTCCTCCCTTGTGTGGCATGATGCGAAAGCACGGCGTTGAGTACATACAGTCCTGCACGACAGCTCGGTCACGAGGAATGCATAACGTACCAAGCCGGCGCACAATCGGGAACACCAATCTATTCGGAGTACTCAACAGGCATCTATAAGAAAAACTACGAAATGTTTTCAAAATAAATGATTATTATAAAGGAAATAAAACAACATTTAATAAATATTTCCTTCATGATGAGAGGGTGTTGCAGGGTTAAGTGATCAAACTGCAAAAATGAACTAAGGACCTCAAAACAAGAAAAAAAAATCCTCTGAAGATATGTTCGCAAACGCTCTGTTTAGGAGCCATTCACACCTAAAGATTTTCGTTGTTATGAATTATTTACAACATATGAAATAAATAAAACATATTTATTTGTTCTAACTACTTTATTAATTAAATGTAAACATTAACATTCATATTAAATGCTATTCACAGTGATTTCCTTGAGTATTAAGACAGGTCGGCATCTTTCTTCAACAGCAGCAGTGGCAGAACGGCAATGGATATGTGTTATTCTTTCACAAGATTCAATTATCCTTCTTCGTAAGGAATTAGTGTCATTCTTTAAATCCTAAACAAAGCGTTTGCGGACATACTTTTATAGAAATCGTTTTTTTTCTTGCTTAAGGTCTTTAGTTCATTTTTGCAGTTTGGCCCCCCACTTAACATTGAAACATCCTGTATAATATTTTTTTATTTGTATTGCGAACAGTGTGTAGTAGATCTAAATTTTTTTTTTTTCATTTCTAGACAGTTATTGCACCTATGACTATCCAGGTAAAATCATGGAAGAAAAGCGTGATGAAGTTGTCGCTAATAAAGCGAAAATATTCAAAAGAAACTTCGATCTGATTTTTTATTTTTCATGTTACTCATTTATAAACTTGACTATATACGGTGCGATCGAGGGGATCATGAGTGGCCAGCAATCCTTCCTACTATTCCCTTGCTGGCTTCCTTTCAATTTGGACAATATATTTCTGCACATAGCTGTAATATTTTGGCAAACGATGCTTATAGCGAATGAGCATTACATGTCGTTCGGAGGAATGGGTGTTTTGTATATACCTTATGAACACATCAAAGCTGAAATAAAAATTTTGAAGTTTGCCCTCGAGAATGTACAAGGGAGGTCTTATGAGATGGCTAGAGAAAGAGGCGCTTTTAGGAAAGACAAAAGCGAGAAAGTTGACCAAAAGATTCTCTTCGATAGCTACATCAGCTGCACGAGGTCCTGTGCACAACACCATGTGCAAATAATGAAGTATGTATTTCACTAAATAATGTTTGATTCACAGTAATTTTTAGTTAATATATTTTTTTTTTTACTTAACACGGAGGCGTCTGAAAAGAAGATGGCCTCGTGATTTCCTTATATAGACATATTATTAGAGTGCTACCAGTGGGTAGTTTCTCAACAAGCGTTTTCATGTGATTATATTCCTGTGTACATATTTACTTGATGTATTTATATTGTAATACAATTGTAAATATCTTGAATAACTAGTTTTAAAAAAATTTAATTTAAGTCCAATTTTAACTCGATCTTTGATGTTTATTTGTTCCATTAAAAATAATGATCACTAAAAAAATAATGATACGGTTTTACTTAAATAATAATGATAAAATTGTAAATAAAATATTAATATATATGTATACGTTATTAATGTACACATTTTTTAATATTATATTTCTGAAGTAGGTTTAATTGTGTAAGCCGAAATTTCTAATAAATAAAGATTTTCTCTTACTCACAGTAGACAAAAATATTCTCCACCTACCACTTGGACTCAAAATACAGCATAGGGATTACAAAAAATTTAGATTTGTGATTTGTCTTTTTTTTCTTTAAAAATGTATTTGCGCCTGTCAACTTATTGTTGACAATCAGCAATCTGATGGCGATACAGTAATGACCTGACAGGCATGGGGAAGGAAAGTACTCAGCGGTACATCTTCTCTAATAGTTAATAATCCGAATAACAGATCAGAATTCTACAAATTAAAGTTATTTCAATATTTTAACTGTTATTAATTATTATTATAATTTAGCGAAAATATACCTTTTAAAAAAATGATAATTTGCAATCAAGAATTAGGGATCGGTACGCTCCGCTTTCAGACACATTTAATGATTTTCGAGTATCTAGGTGTCGCCTGTTCTAATGATTTTCAAAACAGCCTTCAAAATCAAGAAAATAATAAAACGTATATAGGAAAATAGATACAGAGAAATCGGAAATGTTCGCTACGAAAATTTTTACCGTAATTATTTTTATTTGGAATTATTAATCTGATCATCAGGTCATATTCCTACAAATTAAATTCATTTCCATACTTCAATTATTATTTTCAAGTCTTTTTTAGTTTAGTAAAAATTGCGCTATAAAATTGGTGGATGGTTTATAATCAACAGTAGGGGATCGGTAAGCTCCGTCTACTTTCGGATATTTTCGGAAATCTAGGTGTGGAGTTCTCAGTGTGATCTTGAAACAGGCTGCCAGCTTGGAGCAGCGAAAGGGTACTAGTAACAAAATTGATTTATAAAGAAAGTAAGAGCTTAAAATTATTAGACATTTTAGATTAAAGTACTTTTTCTTTTAATATTTTCAGATACTTCAATTCTGTATCGCGAATCTTGATGATAATATACTCAATAGCATTCGGTTCTGGTATTTTATCTTGTACGTTTTCAGGATATCTAATCGTTTCAGTAAGTATAGTGTTATTTCTATTATTTACTATTTTTATTTTAAATTATTTCATTTCGTGGTTTGAATAAATTATTACTGAACTTAGATTCATTGAATCGAACAGGGTCCGTCGATTATGGCAGTGGCAACAAACCTTATAGAATCCTTATGCATATCAAAATTAGTTAATTGTATATTTATCAATAATTAAATATATAAATAGATACTTTCATATAAACCTTGTTAGTAATTCTTTTTAAGTTGTACTCAGTTGATCCAGCTGATCCAGTCATTTATTTTCTGTTAGTCCTTGAGCAGGAATGTTACGGTACCACAAATATATCGATGCTCTTTTAGATACGATACTTTAACTGAAGTCTCGATATATAGATTTCATTAAACGAAAAACATCGATATTTGGATAAGGTAAATTACAAGTTATTGTCGTACAGGCCAATAAAGGTAGTAACTACTTAAAAAAGTTGATTAATACAAAATCGATCGATTTTGCTAGCCACCTTACATCATCAGTCAACGCCTAATAATATACTAATTATAATAACAGGAGTGTCTATCTCCAAAAGTTATATTACAGCCATTAACCACAATTAATAATAACTAGAGAACGGATTTCTCTGTTATTGCACATTTTATTTGCTTTGTGTGAAAATCTGGACCCGAATATCTATCCGTTTCATGATCTGTAGAATAACATATCTGAATATAATATTCAGCGAAATTGCAAGTCATTTCTTTTTTGGCGTAAATTGTATGATTTTGATTTTTGTTAAAATCATTAAATTACACATTTTTGCACTTTTGTGATCAATTAGAAGATTTACGAGTATAAAATCAAATTTGTGCGTTAATATTTACCTTTTGATTTTAACATATTGTTCAAATTAAATTCATTATCCGAGATAAAAAAAGTATGAGGATAGTGAGTAATACTGCGACAAGCGAAATTTGAAGCTAACATTACAAAAGAAAGAAGTAAACACAAGTGAGAAATATTCTTGGAACAGAACTAGACCAAAGTATTGAATAATATAAACGTGCTTAGATAGAATAAGTTGCATTGCCAAAAAAAAATTTATTGTAATTCTTTTGATATCAATTCTTACTAACTTGTTCATCCCTTAAGTAATCCTTCTGAATTTGTTAGGTAGTAACAGCATTATTACAAAAAAATAAGTAAATAAATAAATAATAATGCTGAAAGCCCTTAGCCTAAAAATTAAAATAATTATATAAAAATATACTTAGCCTAACGTAAATAAAAATAATCTGTTACAAAGTAAAAGGCATATTAACATTGATCATAGGAATTCCCAATCATTTGATGTCTTATTTGAGATATCTAGTTCAGAAAGCTCAAAAAAATGTTTGAGATATCTAAAAATAAAATAAAAATTCATCTATTTCATTCATAACTATTTTCGCTGAACTTTCGGGAAGCTCTCTATTAATCTATCAAGGTCTCTATTTGACATCTCTATCGAATACCTTTTCATTTGATACCCCATTCGTCAAAATCGATTGTTATAAAATTTTTAGTTATTTCGTGAAAAAACTAAGGCTATATATAGCCTTGGTGCAAATTCGAAGAAAAAGAGTTTTATTTTTCGATTGCTATGAAACTTCGTATTTAAGGGTTTATCGGGCTCCTAATTACGAATATCAACTCAGTTTCTCCATAAAAAAATGTTTGAGAGATTTGCAAATAAAAATTGATCGTATTCATTGATAACTATTTTCACTGATTTCTGGGGAAGGTCTAACTATAGTATTTGACGTCTCTATCATATACCCTTTCATTTGATACCCCATTCGTCAAAATCGATTGTTATAAAATTTTTAGTTATTTTCGTGAAAAAACTAAGGCTATATTATATATATAGCCTTGGTGCAAATTCGAAGAAAAACAGTTTTATTTTTCGATTGCTATGAAAATTCGTATTTAAGGGTTTACCGGGCTCTTAATTACGAATATCAACTCAGTTCCTCCATAAAAAAATGTTTGAGAGATTTGCAAATAAAAATTGATCTTATTCATTGATAACTATTTTCACTGATTTCTGAGGAAGGTCTAACTATAGTATTTGACGTCTCTATCATGTACCCTTTCATTCGATACCCCATTCGTCAAAATCGATTGTTATGAAATTTTTAGTGATTTTCGTGGAAAAACTAAGGCTATATATAGCCTTGGTGCAAATTCGAAGAAAAAGAGTTTTATTTTTCGATTGCTATGGAAATTCGTATTTAAGGCTTTATCGGGCCCCTAATTACGAATATAAACTCAGTTCCTCCATAAAAAAATGTTTGAGAGATTTGCAAATAAAAATTGTTCGTATTCATTGATAACTATTTTCGCTGATTTCTGGGGAAGGTCTAACTATAGTATTTGACGTCTCTATCATATACCCTTTCATTTGATACCCCATTCGTCAAAATCGATTGTTATAAAAATTTTATAATTATTTTTATAATTATTTAAAATTAATTATTATAATAAATAAAATAAATAAAATTAATAAATAAAATTAATTATTAATTATTATAATTATTTTAAATTTTTATAAAATTTAAAATTTTTATAATTAATTTGCCTTGGTGCAAATTCGAAGAAAAACAGTTTTATTTTTCGATTGCTATGAAAATTCGTATTTAAGGGTTTAGAGGGCTCCTAATTACGAATATCAAGTCAGTTCCTCCATAAAAAAATGTTTGAGAGATTTGCAAATAAAAATAATCGTATTCATTGATAACTATTTTCACTGATTTCTGGGGAAGGTCTAACTATAATATTTGACGTCTCTATCATGTACCCTTTCATTCGATACCCCATTCGTCAAAATCGATTGTTATAAAATTTTTAGTGATTTTCGTGAAAAAACTAAGGCTATAGCCTTGGTGCAAATTCGAAGAAAAACAGTTTTATTTTTCGATTGCTATGAAAATTCGTATTTAAGGGTTTACCGGGCTCTTAATTACGAATATCAACTCAGTTCCTCCATAAAAAAATGTTTGAGAGATTTGCAAATAAAAATAATCGTATTCATTGATAACTATTTTCACTGATTTCTGGGGAAGGTCTAACTATAGTATTTGACGTCTCTATCATGTACCCTTTCATTCGATACCCCATTCGTCAAAATCGATTGTTATAAAATTTTTAGTGATTTTCGTGAAAAAACTAAGGCTATATATAGCCTTGGTGCAAATTCGAAGAAAAACAGTTTTATTTTTCGGTTGCTATGAAAATTCGTATTTAAGGGTTTATCGGGCTCCTAATTACGAATATCAACTCAGTTCCTCCATAAAAAAATGTTTGAGAGATTTGCAAATAAAAATTGATCGTATTTATTGATAACTATTTTCACTGATTTCTGGGGAAGGTTTTTTTTTTTTTTTTTTATTGAATAATAATACAATCAGCCACTGTTGGAGGGCTATAAGTATTAAGGCTAGAAGTTCTCATTCATACAGTATATACAAGTAATACAGAAGTAACTATAAATATAAGAAGTAAATAAATAATACTTATAAAAAAAAGTAAATCAATAGGAAAAAAAATAAATTAA